AGCTATAGTCCAGTTAAAGATGTTGAAACTGTATTGCACCACAGAGACAGCCAAAATTTTTATCTTTGAAATCTTTTTTTGTGTTTTCAACTTGGATTTAAGTGAATTCACCTCGGTATTAAATAATAATAATAATAATAATAATAATAATAATAATAATAATTATTATTTTTATTATTATTATTATTATTATTATTATTTTATTTCCTTGGATTCCCGATGTGTACATATTTCTTTCTGAGTCCCGCCCAGAGACCTAAGGTCAGAAATTGTCTACCCCAGTGAGCGAATTAAAGGGTTCAGTTCGAGATTCCAACCACCTGAAGAAGGCCGGAGCGTACAACGGCCGAAACGTTATAATAAATATGGCGACAAAGACGAGAAAAATAGTACGAATAATGTAAATAGCGAAGTTCTACTTTATGTAATTATATTCATTCAGATATGAGTTGAAAAGATAAAACGTGTCAGAAAGTCAAATGGTAATGTTTAGCAAATTCTCAAGAGCAACCCTGGTAGGGCTTTGAATTGAGAGGGTTCCGTTTCATAGACTGTATACTAGTCTAGTTTAAAGATTGCAATCTGCTCTAATATTCAAAGAATTATTGAGAGTGAAGTGATGGAGTTTTACCAGTGTTTACCTGAAATCGAATACAATCAACTTGACAGAAATTAGAACTGGGCTCCCCATTTTCTTCCGCTTAGCGGTTTCTGTTCTTCCCAAACAAGCACACACACACACACACACACACACACACACACACACACACACACACACACATATATATATATATATATATATATATATATATTATTTTATATGAGCAGTACTCATTGGAAAGTGTTAAATATCAGTGAGAGATCTACTGTATTCAGTTGTATGGATGGGAATTTGTGACCCTGGCTTTCACGCTTTTGCGATCATCAGGCAAACTGGTCTATTTTTTTAAAAATTGAATCCATTTTTGCTTCAGTTTGTTAAAACATCTGTGGATGTCTATACAGTAGCTCCGTAAATTCAAAATATTTTTCACTGTTCTTTTACAGAATTCAAAATTCAAAATTGTCTCACTTATCCAAGGATTGTAACTTTGGTTACTTTTTTTTAAAAAAGTAAAGGATTTTTTAATTACAATATTTTAATTTAGTGTTTTTTTATAACACTTTGCTGCTACAAACATTAAATGATTTTCACTATACTCATAGCTGACCTATTTATTTTTGGCCCCATTTCTCTCATATAAACGTCTCCCAGAATTTAAAAGTTCTACATATCATTGTTTTGATAAAGTACTGATGTATTTTCCAATAATATCTGTTTAACCTGTGAATGTCTGCATGGTTCGTCTTTAAAATGTTCGGAGAGAGAACTATGTTCATTTAAGTGAAACTTAAGCCTTTTCGTCAACGTCGTCGTTGTAATAATACGCATAAATTATTTACCCAAAACTGCTTGAATGAAAATATGCTCTCTCTCTCTCTATATATATATATATATATATATGTGTGTGTGTGTGTGTGTGTGTGTGTGTGTGTGTGTGTGTGTGACATGTAGAATTTAAGAAAATTAAAAAATATCTTAATCTTTGTTAGTTGCCTTCAATGAAACAAGCATTAGAGTTATTGATGCTTACACTTTTGTTATATGCACTTCAATACCTTGCTGCTACCATATTTTAATGTCATTTTGTATTTCTACCAAATTCAGCTCTATTTTTAAATTAACTATTAATGCGTTCTCGTTTGCTGTTTTAGAAATTACCATTTTATCGCAGAATATTTTAGAATAAATTTGTCTTTGCAATTTGCCCCTGTAGATGCTCTTAAATTAGTCCGAAACTTTTTGGGTAAGAAACAAACGAGACACACTGGTATAATCAGTCGATGTTCACATTGAGGTAATGCGAAAGCCGAGCTCAAATTTCAATTCGAATTCATTACATTCACTTATGTAATATTACCTTTAGGAAAGGTATGAATCCATCTCCTCTCTCCCCCAGGTGTAGGTAAATAGCTGGACAGACCGGATCATATAGCCTTGGTTGGCGACTAGTATAGAAAGAAAACACTGACAGTTATAGAGGCTTGGGTTTTGTCAACTTATGCCCCCTGCCACGGAACACCACTACTACAGCAGCTGTAGTATATGTGCTGCCCTGATGAACCTAATTTGTAACTTAATCAAATCTGGCACAAACACTCCAGGGCATTTCTAACATCCATCGGCGATATATGATTTCCATTTTTATTTTGTTTCATTTTGGCAAAAGTCTGTCCAGCATTCGCTGTCATATAGATTAGATATTCGGAGTGCTGCGTGTTTATTTTTTTAGTTCAAAGTACATTTGGATCCCTGAATTCCTTTGGCGATTTCTAAAACTCATCCTTTCCATGTCTCTTCGGATTTGCGCATCACATTTTCCCACATTCTTCAATTTATCACCCAGAGAGTTAAATTTCCGCATCGGCTTTATTTTGATGTTTCCAATACGTTACACATGCTGTCCATTTTTGCAGGTAAACATTAAAATCTTTTTTTACAGCTAATGATGACTTACTTCTTCTTGCTCTCTTTGACATTGTTTTTGTATATGTCCACAAACTTTATTCTCGCCAATTTTCCATCAGCTCACTGTAATCCTCTTAGAATTATCTCACTCTATAAGTTAAATAAATCCATTGATCAAACACATCCTTGTCCTGCAGTCACACTACAAGCAGCGTATGTCTTATTTATTCTCGATGGGTTGCAAATAAATGGAATTAAAACGATAGTTTTCTTATGAATTTGAAGGAAAAGGGACGAGAAAAGAGAGAACAATGAAGGTGGACATTTAGGTAAGAAGAAATAGGAAGAAAATATAAGAAAGCATGCTTATAAAATAGTGATAAAAAATGAATGGATGACGTTACGAAAATTAGGCAAGAACGAGAATGAATGAAAATTGGTTATTTAGGGAAAGAAAAGGAAAACAGCCAAAGGAACATTAAAGTTCATAAAAGGGAGATGCATTTAAAATATAAAAATCAGGTTAAAGAGGCGAGAAATGAGATAGAGTAAAAGTGGGAGTAGAAAAATACTATGCGGGTAGAAAGGAAAAGATCAGGTTTCTAAAGCGGATATTGGATAAAAAAAAATGAAGGAAGGTCTGTAAAGAAAAGGGCGGGAAACGTTGGCAATTAAAGACGGGGAGTTGCAGAATAAAAGATATATGAGCAACGAAAAAAAAATGGTTTTACAAAAATAAAAATAAAAAAAGTGGTTCCCGACAATCGATGAAGATGGCAATTTAGAAAAAAAGAAGTATAAACCTATAAGTATAAACAAAAAGCTTGTATTAGAGACTGGGAGGGAGAATGTTGTAATTGCGAAGAGATTCGAAAAAAAATGAACATGAGAATTAAAAACGAAATAGCGTGAAAAACATGAAAAACAAAATTGCTTCAGAACCGCTGAAATAGAAAATATTTTTATAGAAATGAAAGGGAAAACAAACAGGAAAAGTTGAAAAAGAAAGCAAAAAACCAAAAAAAGAAAACAAGTACGATCAGAAATTTTAAATAATACAGAAACTTAGAAAACAGCCAGGTTAAATGAATGAGAAACGTTTACGAAAGAGAGGCTTGGAAAAGTTTAAAGAGTCAAATTATAGGTGATGGAAAAACAGATGTTAAAGGTAATATCAATATAAGCAATTCCCATTCATTGACCGATCAGCAAGTGACAGTGGTTTGGCTAAAAATTAAGTACATTTTCGACTAAATAACCGGACAAACTTTTTGTCAAGCAAATATTTTCTGTTGAAATTTAGGAAATCTTTCTGTTGAAACATTTTTTTAAGTAACGGTTATTGTTCTTTCAAATATTGATAGAGGCTTCCTTCCTAATCTTTTGTTTGAAGATCAAGGCTATGCAAAACTATAATTATTTTCCTACTTTAAGAGCACGTATTATAATATAGGTATTACAGTAACTAAGAAAAATATGTTTTAATAACAGCAATTTTTAATTGATTAATGATGTGACAAGAGAACAAACAAAAATTATATTTTCTTCTATCCATGTTAATGGTAAGATTAACTCAATAAAAAAATTTCGTTATTCACTGACCGAATGATTAGCATTAATGTTGTTTAAATTTTATAAACTATTACAATTTTTCGGGAACGTAGATGTCTAAATTTCATTGTTATCGCTCTTTGTAACATTGATTTGAGTTTACATACTAACCTTTTTCTTTAAGGTGTTCTGGACGTCAACATCTTGACTATATCATTATTTTTACTTCCAGTTACACGTGCTATTTTTTGGTGTTACTGGGTGAATTCTTCCTGTAATAAAAAAAAAACATTTTAGTAGGTATTCATATATGTCCAGTTTAGTTCAGTTAGTATATATATATATATATATATATATATATATATATATATATATATATATATATATATAGGTCAGATGAATTGGATCTTGATTACGATTCCAATATAATATATTATAACCATGGAATATTAGTGTTTGAGCCTTTTATATTATATTCTTACTCTGTCCTGGACATTGAATTCTACCTGGATTCTATCCTCTTGGGAATTTATATATATATATATATATATATATATATAAATATATATATATATATATATATATACCATTAATATTATTCATTCATTCATCTATCTATTCATCTATCTATCTATCTATATCACTAATATTATCTATCTATCTATCTATCTATATCTATCTATCTATCTATCAATCTATCTATCTATCTATCTATATATATATATATATATATATATATATTCTTCGTGTTTTTTAAATAAACCTTTCGATGTCCAGTTGATAGAATTATCCTGATGAGACCGTGAGTTCGAAACGAAGGTCGTATTCTATCTGACCTCCTAATTTTAAATTTTTATATATATATATATATATATATATATATATATATATATATATATATATATATAATGTATTTTTGTACTGGTTCTTTCTGAAGGATTACGGTCATATCACGTTAATAACATCTGTTCTCGTACGATCACCGGAGTTAAGTAACGTTGAGTCTGGTTAGTAACTAGATGGATAGCCGCTTGAGAATACCCGTTGCTGTGCTATCCATTTTAGTTCTCGTTGCAGTTGAAAAATCTTCATGTGATGAGGTGTCAATTCTTTGGGGATGTCTTTTGGCTGTAATATAGTAGTGCCCGCACAGGAATTTCAATGAAGGATGGCAATTGGCTTAAAATAATTTTTAACGTTTTATCTGAGAATGCGAATAGCTAGAAAAAACGTTGCAAAGAACAACAAAGAAACTGTATGACAAAAACGAGAAAACATTCTAAAAGATAAAGAAACATATTGAACAGAACGACGAGGAGGACTTCGGATATACGCCATTAGAAACTAAAGAATGCCAAACATAAACGAAGAAAATAGTAAGAATTTAAATAAATGTCAAATACAAAAAAATAAAACTATTTACATTATTCGGACTATTGTTCTCAACTTTGTCGCCATATTTATGGAGTAGACTGTTCAAGGACACATTGCACAGTGGATAAAGGCATTAGTTAGATCCTGTGACAGGACCCAAAGTGTGTGAGTTCAATACCCGGTCAATTAACAGGAGATAACTGACAACTGACATCCATGGAACTAAACAGTATACCCTAGTGAGCGAAATAAAGGGTTCAGTTCAACATTCCAACAACCTGAAGAAGGCCAGAGCGTACAATGGCTGAAACGTTGTAATAAATATGGCGACAAAGATGAGTAAAATAATTCGAATAATGTAAATAGTGTACATAATACCTAAACTCAGAAATATAAACAGATACTAAAAATTAAAAAAATAAAATGAGTTCTATTAGGCTTGGTCGGATGCAAAATAAATTTCATATACTTAGATTTCATAAGAATCAAATTTTCTCCTTTGCTGAAAAAACTCTCTAATCCAAACTGATTACATTCAACGCAAGCGACAGGCGCCATCAAAACCTAACGAACTGCGGTGGAGTTTCACTTCCTTGTAATTTACATTTTCGACCAATGATATACCATTTTTAAACGACAATATTTTTTTTTTCAAATTTTATCCTTGTGTATGCTGTCTTTTGTCAAAGAAACCATAGAAACGGATGTAGCAGACGACACTGCTGAAAAACAGAAGCCATACTTGTAGATGAAGGAGCATTTAAAATGCTTATTTGAGTCTGGCGATTTTTGGCCATTTTTGAAGTGAAGATGATACAGATTTTTATTATTGATTGACAATTTTAAAAAAATAGAAATATACAGTAAAATGAAGATAATAGAGAATCAGAATTCTTGTAGAATTATAAACATGGGCAGTTTTACTAGTTTGCATATTGAATGCTATCTCTTTCTAGCTCTGGTCGTCTGCTTTATTCTTTTCTTGTACATGGTAAATTCAATGTCACACTTTATTCTTCATTCTCTTCTGTCATCTCAATTCCTGTTTTGTTTTATTTACGTCAGTTTTCTCTTTGTAATAATGTCTTTCTTTCCTAGTATTCCGTCTTAGTGGTTTTATTGCCCTGGCTGTGGTGAAATGGTTAAAAACAACATTCTTTTTTATCTCTCCTTCCCTCTCTCTAAATATGCAACTTACTCTACACTATCTGTCCATATTTCTGAGATAAGGTATTATGTACACTATTTACATTATTCGGACTATTGTCCTCATCTTTGTTGCCATATTTATTACAACGTTTCGGCCGTTGTACGCTCCGGCCTTCTTCGGGTGGTTGGAATGTCGAACTGAACCCGTTGTTTATATCCAGTGACAGGACCCAAATTTTTGTTAGTTCAATACCTGGTTAGAGAATTTGAAAAGGTGAATTAACAGGAGATAACTGATAACTGACATCCATTAGGAATTTTTTTTTCAGAATTACGCCCCGAACAAGGCGGGAAGCCACTAGGATGCTGGGGGTTGCAGAAGATTTGGAGCGAGAACAGATAGGAGTGATAGAAGAAAGGATGAGGAGAAGGATAGTGGGTTGATCAAGGTATCTGGAGATGTCGATTGACATTACATTTGAATATTTGGAGATTATAGCCTCAGGGGAAACAGTAATGGGGAAGGGTGTTCCCACAGGCGAGAGGGGCGAGATATGAAGCTATTGAAGTAGAAGAGACGGCTACATTTAAAAGTTTCTACAGTGTAAGGGTGGGAGCGGGATGCCAGCCTCGTAGGGCGCTTGAATACATGAAGTCCGGGAACCAGTGACAGCAGCTCATCGGAGCAATTACCATGAAAGTATTTGTTAAAAAGACAGAGAGGGGCGACGGCGCATCTGTGACAGAGTGACTGTAGACGAGACGCCAGATCAGGGCCAATTATATTACATATCCGTCTCTGGATCTTGTCAAGAACTCCGAGGTAAACAGAAAGGGCTCCAGACCATATATGGCAGTAATTTTACATGCAAGGGCGAACCGTTGATTTATATATTTGAAGTATCGATTCCGGAGCGAAAAATTTCCTGGCGTGTCTCAGAGAGCCAACTTTCCTTGCGCACGTGGAATTAGAACAGTCTACCTCAGCGAGCGAAATAAAGGACTCAGTTCGACATTCTAACATCCTGAAGAAGGCCGGAGCGTACAACAGCATAAACCTTATGATAAATATGACAACAAAGATGAGTCAAATAGTCCAAATAATGTAAATTACTTTACACTATAACAGGTTTCACTATGCAAGAAGGCGATTTAGCCTGGCATCATATCTGATTTAATATACGACTCGAAATGATGCTTGGTAATCACAGTCATTGTGCCTTAATGAGGCAAGAAAGTTGTTCCGATGGGTGCTTTCAATGTCCAGAGTAAGATAATTCCTCTGTTAATTTCTCAACAATAGAAAAGGAAAAGTCAGTGCGAATTATCTCTCAATTCAAGCAGTTGCAAAACCACATGCGGCAACAATTCTCGCCGAGAAATCATGAAGGCAGAAACTCGTTTTTGTACCAGAAAATGTCGGCTCTTCGGTATTTCCCGATTCGTAAATTCAGGGACCAATGAAAACGATCTGCCACATCATTCTTCTTTTTTTTGTGGAATTTGCGACGGCTAATTGGCCTTATCAAATATATCGTATTTCAAATAAATACAATCTGTTTCCAACAATTTGAAGTGCTGTTGTTGTTTTTTTTTAGATCGAAAAACTTTAAATGTGTTTTCATTTATTTTCTGCACACAATATTACAAGTTAAAGTTTTCATAATAAAATTGCTAATGTTGTTGACGTTTTTGGCATATTATTATTACAATTTCTGTGATGAAATGATAGCAATAAGATGTGGGTGATGTCAGTCGGTAACACCGAAATAATCCTAACGGAATATCCCGCAACGCAGTCCTATCTTTCCCCGATTGGAAACGGAAAAAGAATAACAGGTATTTGAAACGAGATACAGGTAAAGGTATAACTTAGAATCATAAGATTAATGGTGTTGCGCATATGTTTTATTTTCAGCCGCTTTCATAGTATCCTTCTAAAGTATAGTATTTTTTCTGTCATTTTGTATTTTGTTAACGTAATTATAACATGATTTATCCTATAAACGCTTAAATATACAAAAATGTGTTTTCCTGAATAGTGCCCGCTAATACATTGAGCGCTTAATATGTATCTATTGTATAAAATAAATTACATTTCGAATGTTAAAATTCGCAGGATTACACTACAAACTGATACCATAAACAAAACAAAAAAATCGTGTAAATTTTAAAATTAAAATTCGTCGGTGAAAATGGTCTTTTATTAAGGGTATCTTAATTCCAGTTGTAAAGAAAAGTTGCTCTGTTTAATGAAAATAAGCATTGACTGCTGTTTTGTGAGTCAGTTTTGACATATTTCAAATTCTATATTGTGTTAATAAGACTCGCTTGTATTATACAAGCGGATTGCTATATATATATATATATATATATATATATATATATATATATATATATATATATATATAATTATAATTATTTATTCGAAAATAGTAGTATAAACATGTTATGAATTCACCACAAATAAAAAAATATTTTGTTTCAACACTTTGGTGTCCTATATATATATATATATATATATATATATATATATATATATATCTTTTCGCGCGAAATATTTATGTGACTGAGTATGGAATGATTTCCATTTTTCTCTTCAGTTTTGTAACCCCCAACACGAGGACAGACTCTTGACAGGATCTTTTCTCTTGATCACTATAATCTTAAAGCCTAGTTAATAAACGTTATCTTTTCTACATAACCTTACTAACTTTACTTCTTGCCTTCTGTTACGCTCATACAACAACACAGAGTAACCCTTTAAATTAAGTGGCTCATGAGCCTTGTATAGGGTGAATATAACTACAAAGAATGATACAAGAAAACTGTAAATATTAGCGAGATAAAAAAAAAGAAAAAGAAAAGAAATATCTTTGAAAATGATTCTGACATTAATTTCTGGTTCATTCAACACGACCGGCAGGATTGCTTAGTTTTTTCGTGTACACACACACACACACACACACACACACACACACACACACACACACACACACATATATATATATATATATATATATATATATATATATAACACGGTGAGTAATGGATAGCGGCTTGGATTGAGGAATCGGAGAGCCGAATTCGAATTCTAGTCGATTCCATTACATTCACTTACGTGCTAATACCCTTGGGAAAGGTGTGAATCCTCTTCTTCTCCCTCCAGCTATGGATAAATAGCAGGACAGACTGGGTCCTATAGCCTTGGATGGCAACTGGTCTAGGAGAAGGACAACTCTAAATTCAAAACTTGCGGAGTGTCGTTTGGGGACCCTGTGGCACGTAGTGCACCAGGTCTCTGAAATCAGCCCTTCAAAAAGTGTGGATAGTCCTGCACGAAACCTTCACCACTATAATCAAATCTCATGTGCTGTTGTCGGGCTGTCGGTTTTCTAGAACTGATCTGCTTGATCCTCATACGTCGAATTCGACGGGAGAGTCGACTATATATATATATATATATATATATATATATATATATATATATATATATATATATATATATATTTAAGAAAAAGATCAGTA